CTGGGGTTGAGCTCTGGCTCTTTGGTCCCGCCTCTCAACCGTCAATCAACTGCATTGATTGCAGTTGATTGACTGCAATGTGTGTGTGTGTGTGTGTGTGTGTGTGTGTGTGTGTGTGTGTGTGTGTGTGTGTGTGTGTGTGTGTGTGTGTGTGTGTGTGTACTCACCTATTTGTGCTTGCGGGGGATGAGCTTTGGCTCTTTGGTCCCGCCACTCAACTGTCAATCAACTGGTGTACAGATTCCTGAGCCTACTGGGCTCTATCATATCTACATTTAAAACTGTGTATGGAGTCAGCCTCCACCACATCACTGCCTAATGCATTCCATCCGTTAACTACTCTGACACTGAAAAAGTTCCTTCTAACGTCTCTGTGGCTCATGTGGGTACTCAGTTTCCACCTGTGTCCCCTTGTTCGCGTTCCACCAGTGTTGAATAGTTTATCCTTGTTTACCCGGTCGATTCCTCTGAGGATTTTGTAGGTTGTGATCATGTCTCCCCTTACTCTTCTGTCTTCCAGTGTCGTAAGGTGCATTTCCCGCAGCCTTTCCTCGTAACTCATGCCTCTTAGTTCTGGGACTAGTCTAGTGGCATACCTTTGGACTTTTTCCAGCTTCGTCTTGTGCTTGACAAGGTACGGGCTCCATGCTGGGGTCGCATACTCCAGGATTGGTCTTACATATGTGGTGTACAAGATTCTGAATGATTCTTTACACAGGTTCCTGAACGCTGTTCTGATGTTAGCCAGCCTCGCATATGCCGCAGACGTTATTCTTTTTATGTGGGCTTCAGGAGACAGGTTTGGTGTGATATCAACTCCTAGATCTTTCTCTCTGTTCGTTTCATTAAGTACTTCATCTCCTATTCTGTATCCTGTGTTTGGCCTCCTATTTCCACCACCTAGTTTCATTACTTTGCATTTACTCGGGTTGAACTTCAACAGCCATTTGTTGGACCATTCACCCTTCTCTTTCTTGCCTTATTTTTGTTGCCTGGTCGTAGAATTCAAGTAACCCTGTGAGGCAGGACCTGCCATCCCTGAATCCATGTTGATGCTGTGTTACAAAGTTCTTTCGCTCCAGGTGCTCCACTAGCTTTCTTCGCACAATCTTCTCCATCATCTTGCATGGTATGCAGGTTAGGGACACTGTGTGTGCTTGTGTGTGTGTGTGTGTGTGTGTGTGTGTGTGTGTGTGTGTGTGTGTGTGTGTGTGTGTGTGTGTGTGTGTGTGTGTGTGTGTGTGTGTGTGTGTGTGTGTGTGTGTGTGTGTGTGTGTGTGTGTGTGTGTGTGAGCGCATTGAGGTGGGTGCTGGGACCGCAGAGAGGTGGGTGCTGGGACCGTAGAGAGGTGGGTGCTGGGACCGCAGAGAGGTGGGTGCTGGGACCGCAGAGAGGTGGGTGCTGGGACCGCAGAGAGGTGGGTGCTGGCACTGCAGAGAGGTGGGTGCTGGGGCCGCAGAGAGGTGGGTGCTGGGACCGCAGAGAGGTGGGTGCTGGGACCGCAGAGAGGTGGGTGCTGGGACCGCAGAGAGGTGGGTGCTGGGACCGCAGAGAGGTGGGTGCTGGGACCGCAGAGAGGTGGATGCTGGGACCGCAGAGAGGTGGGTGCTGGGACCGTAGAGAGGTGGGTGCTGGGACCGCAGAGAGGTGGGTGCTGGCACTGCAGAGAGGTGGGTGCTGGGACCGCAGAGAGGTGGATGCTGGGACCGCAGAGAGGTGGGTGCTGGGACCGTAGAGAGGTGGGTGCTGGGACCGCAGAGAGGTGGGTGCTGGGACCGCAGAGAGGTGGGTGGGAAGACAAGAGGGATGGGAGGGGGGAATGGTGGGCAGAACAAGGGGACAAGAACAAGGCTGTGGTGGGTGGGTGTAGGGGCTGTGGTGGGTGGTTATGGTGGGTGTAGGGGTGGTGATGGGTGGTTATGGTGGGTGTAGGGGCTGTGGTGGTTGGTTATGGTGGCTGTGGTGGGTGGGTGTAGTGGCAGTGGTGGGTGGTTATGGTGGGTGCAGGGGCTGTGATGGGTGGTTATGGTGGGTGTAAGGGCTGTGGTGGGTTGTTATGGTGGGTGTAGGGGCTGTGGTGGGTGGTTATGGTGGGTGTAGGGGTGGTGATGGGTGGTTATGGTGGGTGTAGGGGCTGTGGTGGTTGGTTATGGTGGCTGTGGTGGGTGGGTGTAGTGGCAGTGGTGGGTGGTTATGGTGGGTGCAGGGGCTGTGATGGGTGGTTATGGTGGGTGTAAGGGCTGTGGTGGGTGTAGGGGCTGTGGTGGGTGGTTATAGTGGGTGTAGGGGTTGTGGTGGGTGGTTATGGTGGGTGTAGGGGCTGTGGTGGGTGGATATGGTGGGTGTAGGGGCTGTGGTGGGTGGGTGTAGTGGTTGTGGTGGGTGGTTATGGTGGGTGTAGGGGCTGTGGTGGGTGGTTATGGTGGGTGTAGGGGCTGTGGTGGGTGGTTATGGTGGGTGTAGGGGCTGTGGTGGGTGGGTGTAGTGGTTGTGGTGGGTGGTTATGGTGGGTGTAGGGGCTGTGATGGGTGGTTATGGTGGGTGTAGGGGCTGTGATGGTTGGTTATGGTGGGTGTAGGGGCTGTGATGGTTGGTTATGGTGGGTGTAGGGGCTGTGATGGTTGGTTATGGTGGGTGTAGGGGCTGTGGTGGGTGGGTGTAGGGGCTGTGGTGGGTGGGTGTAGGGGCTGTGGTGGGTGGTTATGGTGGGTGTAGGGGCTGTGATGGGTGGTTATGGTGGGTGTAGGGGCTGTGGTGGGTGGTTATGGTGGGTGTAGGGGCTGTGGTGGGTGGTTATGGTGGGTGTAGGGGCTGTGGTGGTTGGTTATGGTGGGTGTAGGGGCTGTGATGGTTGGTTATGGTGGGTGTAGGGGCTGTGATGGTTGGTTATGGTGGGTGTAGGGGCTGTGATGGTTGGTTATGGTGGGTGTAGGGGCTGTGGTGGGTGGTTATGGTGGGTGTAGGGGCTGTGATGGTTGGTTATGGTGGGTGTAGGGGCTGTGGTGGGTGGTTATGGTGGGTGTAGGGGCTGTGATGGGTGGTTATGGTGGGTGTAGGGGCTGTGGTGGGTGGTTATGGTGGGTGTAGGGGCTGTGATGGTTGGTTATGGTGGGTGTAGGGGCTGTGATGGTTGGTTATGGTGGGTGTAGGGGCTGTGATGGTTGGTTATGGTGGGTGTAGGGGCTGTGATGGGTGGTTATGGTGGGTGTAGGGGCTGTGATGGGGGGTTATGGTGGGTGTAGGGCCTGTGATGGGTGGTTATGGTGGGTGTAGGGGCTGTGATGGGGGGTTATGGTGGGTGTAGGGGCTGTGATGGGGGGTTATGGTGGGTGTAGGGCCTGTGATGGGTGGTTATGGTGGGTGTAGGGGCTGTGATGGGTGGTTATGGTGGGTGTAGGGGCTGTGATGGGGGGTTATGGTGGGTGTAGGGCCTGTGATGGGTGGTTATGGTGGGTGTAGGGGCTGTGATGGGTGGTTATGGTGGGTGTAGGGGCTGTGGTGGGTGGTTATGGTGGGTGTATGGGCTGTGATGGGTGGTTATGGTGGGTGTAGGGGCTGTGATGGGGGGTTATGGTGGGTGTAGGGCCTGTGATGGGTGGTTATGGTGGGTGTAGGGGCTGTGATGGGTAGTTATGGTGGGTGTAGGGCCTGTGATGGGTGGTTATGGTGGGTGTAGGGGCTGTGGTGGGTGGTTATGGTGGGTGTAGGGGCTGTGATGGTTGGTTATGCTGGGTGTAGGGCCTGTGATGGGTGGTTATGGTGGGTGTAGGGGCTGTGATGGGTGGTTATGGTGGGTGTAGGGGCTGTGATGGTTGGTTATGGTGGGTGTAGGGGCTGTGATGGGTGGTTATGGTGGGTGTAGGGGCTGTGATGGGTGGTTATGATGGGTGTAGGGGCTGTGATGGGTGGTTATGGTGGGTGTAGGGGCTGTGATGGGTGGTTATGGTGGGTGTAGGGGCTGTGATGGGTGGTTATGGTGGGTGTAGGGGCTGTGATGGGTGGTTATGGTGGGTGTAGGGGCTGTGATGGTTGGTTATGGTGGGTGTAGGGGCTGTGATGGGTGGTTATGGTGGGTGTAGGGGCTGTGATGGGTGGTTATGATGGGTGTAGGGGCTGTGATGGGTGGTTATGATGGGTGTAGGGGCTGTGATGGGTGGTTATGGTGACGGTCATCAATATGCACGAACTCGTAAGTACTTACCATACAGATAGTAGTATACTGTCTAGTAAGGAATTTTTAAAAAATAAATGAAGCTCAAATACAAACTTAAATGTACCTAGGCGTAGTATAGCACACATATGTACTATATTAGGCCTCAGATATTGTGCATTAGCCGTAGGGAGACTAGCATAGGTTAGCTTAGTTCATCAAAGCAACACAAGTAAAAAGTACTTTTCTGGTTTCTCCAAGTCAATAGTTCAATTTTCAACTCTCAATAGGTCTAATTTCGTTATATATTCGTGGGTATATACAGGATGGTCGTCATGGTTACCGTCAGTACTATAGCAGAAGAGGAGGCTGGGGGGGGGGAGGTAGGGATGCTGTACTGGCGTCATCTGGGGCAGGAGAGGAGAAGCTTGTCACAGATCAGTTTACCTGGCGCCCTCCACCAGCCTCCGCACCTGTAATATTAGAGCCTATTGGGGTGGGGGGAGACACAGGAGGGGGGGGACACAGGAGGGGGGGGGAGACACAGGGGGGGGGAGACACAGGAGAGGGGGGGGAGACACAGGGGGGGAGACACAGGAGAGGGGGGGGACACAGGGGTAAGCTGTGAGAAGCAGTTTGTCACCCATTAGAGTAGTGTAGGGTTTTGTGGGCTCATTTGGCGCCTAAAGAAAGGAATGGGATGAATGGGTGACACCCCTTGCCCCCTTCCCACGGGCACGCCGGGAGGGGCAGGATGGAACTTGCTTGGACCTAAAGTACGGAAACGATTGGGCAGTTTATAGCGAGGGGTGGTGACTGACTGGGCGCCTCGCCCTAGTTTATCAACCATTAGCACAAGGGCCGTAATTTAATCCCAGTTTTGGGGACCGGTGGTGGTTCTTGCGGCGGGACCTGCGGCAGGTCCTGCGGCGGGTGATCTTGTGCCCTGGCGGTGCTGACCCTGCCGCAGGCTATGGGAGCTGACCCTCCCGCAGGCTGGAGATGCTGACCCTCCCGCAGGCTGGTGGCGCTGACCCTGCCGCAGGCTGGAGACGCTGACCCTGCCGCAGGCTGGAGATGCTGACCCTCCCGCAGGCTGGTGGCGCTGACCCTGCCGCAGGCTGGAGACGCTGACCCTGCCGCAGGCTGGAGACGCTGACCCAGCCGCAGGCGGGAGACGCTGACCCTGCCGCAGGCTGGAGGCGCTGACCCTGCCGCAGGCTGGAGGCGCTGACCCTGCCGCAGGCTGGAGACGCTGACCCTGCCGCAGGTGGGAGACGTTGACCCTGCCGCAGGCTGGAGACGCTGACCCTGCCGCAGGCTGGAGACGCTGACCCTGCCGCAGGCGGGAGACGCTGACCCTGCCGCAGGCTGGAGACGCTGACCCTGCCGCAGGCTGGAGACGCTGACCCTGCCGCAGGCTGGAGACGCTGACCCTGCCGCAGGCGGGAGACGCTGACCCTGCCGCAGGCGGGAGACGCTGACCCTGCCGCAGGCGAAAGACATTGACCCTGCCGCAGGCGGGAGACACTGACCCTGCCGCAGGCGAAAGACATTGACCCTGCCGCAGGCGGGAGACGCTGACCCTGCCGCAGGCGGGAGACGCTGACCCTGCCGCAGGCGGGAGACGCTGACCCTGCCGCAGGCGGGAGACGCTGACCCTGCCGCAGGCGGGATTCGCGGACCCTCCCACCAGTAATGGAGGTGATGGGCCAAACCATCCTCCTAAAGTTTCCCAACGTCAAGAAAACCATTAGTTTAAAGTGCCCTTATCCTAACCTACCAGAGGACCCAAAACAGAAAACGGGACAATGCGTCACTTTCGCCAGCCGCTTCCATTTTCTAGTACCACAATTTCTGGCCGTATGTAACACATACGGGCGAAAAGCCACGTTCTTTGTGGGAGAACATGTTGGGTTGGTAGTGGAAACAGACATCCTCATCCTACATCCTACATTAATCCAGCACATGAAGGGATAATCACTGGGACCAGTCCCAAGTCCTCTCAGGGTTGCCTCGTATCCCAGCTCCTTGTCCTCGTATCCCAACTCCTTGTCCTCGTATCCAAGCTCCTTGTCCTCGTATCCCAACTCCTTGTCCTCGTATCCCAGCTCCTTGTTCTCGTATCCCAGCTCCTTGTCCTCGTATCCCAGCTCCTTGTCCCTCGTATCCTAGCTCCATGTTCTCGTATCCCAGCTCATTGTTCTCGTATCCCAGCTCCTTGTTCTCGTATCCCAGCATCAACATGGGTTCAGGGATAGCAAATCATGCCTCACAGGATTAATTGAATTCTATGACCAGCCAACAAAAATCAGGCAAGAACGAGAGAGCTGGGCACTGCATATTTTTGGATTGCCAGAAAGCCTTTGAAACAATATCACATAAGAGACTACTGTACAAGCTGGAGATGCAGGCAGGAGTGAAAGAGAAGGTACTCCATTGGATAAGGGAGTACCTAAGCAACAGGAGACAACGAGTCAGTGTGAGGGGTGAGGTCTCAGATTGGCGAGACGTCACCAGTGGGGTCCCGCAGGGTTCAGTCCTTGGACCTATACTGTTTCTGTTATATGTAAATGATCTCCCAGAGGGTATAGACTGATTTCTCTCAGTGTTTGCTGATGATGCAAAAATTATGAGGAGGATTAAGACTGTAGCCTCATACTGTTTCAGAAGACAGTATGAGCCTACAAGATGACCTAGAACAACTAAAGGAATGGTCTAATAAATGGTTACTAAAGTTCAACCCGAGTAAATGCAAAGTAATGAAACTAGGTGGTGGAAATAGGAGGCCAAACACAGGATATAGAATAGGAGATGAAGTCCTTCTCGAAACGGACAGAGAGAAGATCTAGGAGTTGATATCACACCAAACCTGTCTCCTGAAGCCCACATAAAAAGAATAACATCTGCGGCGTATGCGAGGCTGGCTAACATCAGAAGAGCCTTCAGAAACCTGTGTAAGGAAACATTCAGAATCTTGTACACCACATATGTAAGACCAATCCTGGAGTATGCGGCCCCAGCATGGAGCCCGTACCTTGTCAAGCACAAGACGAAGCTGGAAAAAGTTCAGAGGTATGCTACTAGACTAGTCCCAGAACTAAGAGGCATGAGTTACCAGGAAAGGCTGCGTGAAATGCACCTTACGACACTAGAAGACAGAAGAGTAAGGGGAGACATGATCACTACCTACAAAGTTCTCAGAGGAATTGACAGGGTAGATAAAGATAAACTGTTTAACACGGGTGGGACAGGAACAAGGGGACACAGGTGGAGACTGAGTACCCACATGAGCCACAGAGACGTTAGAAAAAACTTTTTCAGTGTCAGAGTAGTTAACAGGTGGAAT